AAAGGGCAGGACAAAGCAGAGGACAGCCAGGGCCGCAGGACGGCACGGAGCAAGGCCGAGGCCTGGGCTGGCTGGCACACGGCACGTCTCGCTGCATGGCCTTGCGCACGCAGCCGCGGCTGGATGCCTTACTGCGTTACCTGTTGGGCACTTCCCTCTGCAGCACGTGTTGTGTGTTAAGCTGTTGGCTCAGGCTGCTCTTTTTCTCCTATCAGGAGGAAGAGAAAACAGGGGAATGCACACAGCAGTCCTTGTTCTGCTATAGCAAAAGGCAAAGATGGGAGGGGGAAGGTGAGGTCCCAGGAGCGGCGTGGCAGGTTGGAGAAGGCCCGGGGCTTTCCTGCCGCGTATCTGGGTTAGCCAAGGCAGGCTGCAGCAGGGCTGTGGCATGTAACAACTTCTCTCTTCTCAGCTGGGGTGAGCAGAGCCCTGGCCCTGAGCTACAAGTCAATGATCTCTGCTGGATGAATGAGAAAGCCCTTGGCTTTGGTCCCTGCCGTGCAGCTAATTGCATTACGGCACCTCCAGCAGCCCTGCGGGAAGGGCATGCCGCAGCCTCGGGACACAGATTACAGCGCTGTATATAGCCCCGAAGCAGCACCCGTGCTGAGCCCAGGCGTAATGAGCTCAGGGCAGAGGCTGGGAGCCGCCCTGGGGGAAACAGCCTGACCCAGCCGAGTGCCGCAGATGTGACGTCCTCGCCTCGTTGCTGTAACGACATCCGCTGGCGGAAGGAGGCTGGCTTGTGTCTGGAGAGGGATGCTGTGCCATGATTTCCCCTCCAGAGCAGGATGCCTGCTGGAAGGGCCTGCTCCAGACCCCTCGCAGCCAGCAGCTTCGGAGAGCTGCGATAAGGAAACGCAGAGCCCTCCTTTTAGCCGTCAGGGCGGCACTGGGTGCCTGAAATCCCCAGCCAGAGCCTGGCCCGATGGGCACAGCATCCCCTGGGAAACCATGGGCTAAGCCTGCCCAGGAGGGTCTCCAGTATCGCAAACATGGGCTTTTCTGAGTATCAGGTCCTAAGGCAGAGGTATGTATGTTTGTTTGTTTGGTTTGGTTTTTTGTTTTGGTTTTTGTGTGTGTGTGTGTGGTGCGTTGAACAGACCAAACCAGCAGACAGAGCGGGTGGGTGTCCGCTGTGCACCTCGTGCAGCCAAGCTGCCGGCAGTCAGCCCAGCGCCTGCTTCTCTGGCGGAGCATCAAGAGGCAAAAATCTCATTCTGGATCTGACCTGCCCCAGCCCTGGCGATGGGAGTGCTGTGGTCGGTGAAGTCTGATAGCTTAAGCTCCCTCCTGCCAGGTGTGAAAGTGATGTGAATTGGGCTTTTCTTGCAAAAAATGCTGAAGTTTTGGGGACTTTGTAAAGACCCAGCAGCGCAAGAGAGGCTCTGAAGCACCTCATCTGGGCAGCGACCCTCTAAAGCAGAAAGCCCAAAGTGCACCGAGGGCTGCGACTGCCTCTCCCTCCCTGCAAGCCTCCCCTTCTCCCTTGTGCTGCTCAGCTCACCCCTGCTTCCTTTTCGAAAGCCCTGACTCAAGCGGACGAGAAGGAAACCCAACTGAGTTTCTTCCCTGTTCATCTTCTACTTCTCCTTCCCCCATGCTGATTCTCCAAATTTGTCCCTCCTTGGGGTGTCCCACCACAGTGACTGTCGGGGCAGGCCTTTTTTGGGGGATGAGGATCTTCTATCCTCCCCAGGACAGCAGGGTGCAGTGGGGACCAAGCCCTGGTCCCCAGCCCCACTGGGACGTGCTTGGCCACGTCCCAGCCAGATCCGTGTGGGGGCAGTTGGGGTTTCTCTGTGTTGGCTAGGTGGTTCCTCTTCCCTGCTGTCACCCAGGGCGCTCTGTTCTGTAGTGTGACACACAAGCAGTCGCCTTCTGCCTGTTTTGGTTGAAACAGGGTGAAGCATGTCCTGTAAGGAAGCTGTCACCAGCTGAGCCTGGGGGTGGCATAGGAGCATGCCGAAGAAATCCAGTGCTTTGCAAACCTCCCCTTTGAAAAAGGATCACTGTCCTTCTTGGGGTGACAAACCCCTTGCATGCCTGGGGTGCCAGTTAATCCGCCTGTGACTCGAGGCAGTTGTGAGCACCTGGGTGCACGGGAGAGCCCAGAGCCACAGGTGGTTTGCACCTACTGCTGAAACAGGGTGATGTTCCCCATGTTGTCCTAACGTCTCCGGCCTGTTCCTGACACCTCCTGCGAACTGGTTCGTCCCTGGTCAGGTCCTGGCCAGGAACCTGGTGCTGCTGTCCCGCCCCTGGCAAACAGAGAGGGCGTTTATCCACAGCCCTGCCCCAGTGTGATGCCAGCAGGTGGCTGGGGGGACCAGGCCTCCTGAGGGGGCTGCGGTGACTGAACACAGCCTGGCGTTGCTCTGTGCTGCTCTCCAGCCCAGCCGCTGCCGTGGGAGCATGTGCTGCAGCCTGCTTGGGCCCTGGCTCCGTTACTCCACTGCGCATGTTTCCCTGGCAGGACCTGGTTCTTGCAGATGCTCTAACTCGGGTTTTCCCCCTCTGTTCAACCTCCCTCAACTTGCGTTTACGGTTGGAGTTGGCCAGGACTTCTGGAGATCATCTGGCCCAACCCTCTGCTCCAGTAGGGTCAGCTAGAGCAGGTTGCCCAGGACCGTATCCAGTGGGGTTTTGAATATCTCAAAGATAGAAACCCCACAACTTCTGGGAAACCTGCTCCAGTGTTTATCCACCTTCACAGTGAAGAATTGTTTTCTTGTGTTCAAGTGAAATTTCCTGTGTTCCAGTTCGTACCCTTCACCTCTTGTCCTGTCACTGGGTGCCACTGAGAAGAGTCCAGCCCTGTCCTCTTCATACCCTTCCTTCAGATATTTGAACGCATTGATAAGATCCCCCTGAGCCTTCTCTTCTCCAGGCTCAACAGGCCCAGCTCTCTCAGCCTCTCCTTGTGTGAGAGATGCTCCAGTCCCTTCATCTTTGTGGCCCTTTGCTGGACTCGTTCCAGCAGGTAGGTCCATGTGTCTCTTGTGCTGGGAAGCCCAGACTAGGACCCAGCACTCCACGTGTGGCCTCACCAAGGCTGAGTTGGAAGGGTCATCTCCCTTGATCTGCTGGCAATGCTCTGCCTAATGCAGCCAGGATGCCGTTGGCCTTCTTTGCCACAAGGGTGCATTGCTGGCCCACGTTCAGCTTGGTGTCCACCAGAACCCTCAGGTCCTTCTCTGCAAAGCTGCTCTCCAGACAGTTGGCCCCTAGCCTGTCCTGGTGCCTGGGGCTTGTCCTCCTCAAGGGGCAGGACTTGGTCCTTCTCTGTGTTGAACTTCATGAGGTTCCTCTCTGCCCATCTGTCCAGCCTGTTGAGGTCCCTCTGAACAGCGGCACAACCCTTTGGAGTGTCGGCCGTTCCTCCCAGTTCTGTGTCGTCTGCAAACTCCCTGAGGGTACATGTAGTCCCACCATCATTAATGAATTTGAATTTGTTAAGCAGTACTGGCCCCAGCATCAGCCCCTGGGGAACACCAGTAGTGACTGGTCTCCAGCTGGACTTTGTAGTGCTGATCATAACCCTGTGAGCCTGGTAGTTCAGCCAGGTTTCAGGCCACGTCACTAACCATTATCTAGCCCCCACTTCATCAGCATGTTTGTGAGGGTGGTAGGGGAGGCGGTGTCAAAAGCTGTACTGAAGTCAAGGTAAAGAACATCTGCTGCTCTCCCCTTGTCCACCAAGCCCATCATCTCACCATAGGAAGGCTGTCAGGTTGGTTAAACGTGATTCCCTTGGTAAATCCACGTTGGCTACTCCCGATCATCTTCCTGTCCATCGCGTGTCTGGAAATGGTATCCAGGGTTAGTTGCCCCATCATCTTCCTGGGGATCAAGGTGAGGCTGACCAGCCTGGAGTTCCCTGGATCCCCCTCCTTGCCCTTCTTGATGACAGGGCTGACAGTTGCTCTCTTCCAGTCCTCGGGAGCCTCTCCCGATTGCTGTGACCTCTCAAGGGTAATCAAGAGTGGTCTCACGGGACACGGGCCAGCTCTCTGCAGAGAGGGTGGAAATTCCCCATAGAAGACCGTGGTAGGCCGCCTAAGCTGACGGTGTTCGGGGGTCATGGTGAGGCCGCCCAGCCTGGGCACCTGGGTTTTTACACCTGCACCCTGCTGTTTTGCTGTTATGTGGAAATCGCTTGAGGTGTTCAGGGTGGCCAGCAGCAGCTCTGAGAGGCCTCAGGGATGGGAGCTGGTTTCAATGTAGATCTTGGGCTGAAGGGAGGATGGTGAAGTGGGGCCGCTGCCACTCTGCTCCATGCTCAAACTGCTACTTGGCCCCAGAACATCCCCTTTTTGTCCTCTGCTCGTTTTGGGGAGGTGGTTTTCCTTGTTTTAACCTGTTGTCCTATAAAGTGATCTTTTTGCCCTCTGAATCCTCGTACAAAGGAACCAGAACATCCTTTCCTTTCTTTTTTCCAGCAGAAAGCACCAGTTTGCTCAAAGGCTCTGTTTTGTTGGGGTTTTTGTTGTTGACATCGGCATATTTTGGGGAAGTTTCTTGCATCTGACACGCTTAGTCCCCTGGTTCCAGCCATCTCTAGTGGAGGAGGACTGGCAGAGTGGCCATGTGCCCCTCTGCCCCAGGGGACACGTGGGACAATGGTGCTGCCTTATGGGTGACATCCCCTCGTTTGTCCTGCTCTGTAGATGATCTCGATGGTGATGGTGGCAGTGGGGGTCTACGCCCGGCTGCTGAAACATGCAGGTGAGCCTGGGGGCTGTGCAGGGGGCAGTGGGGGGACAATGGGACCCGTCCCAGGTCAGCATGGGGATAGAGGATGCCCATCCCCAGCAAGGAGGTGACTGCAGGGGCTGTCCCCCTCCCCAATCCCCTGCCAGGGGAGCCGGTGTCCTGCAGGTGATGTCTACAGCTAGTGGATCCCGGCAAACCACCAGCGGGTCCCTGTGGTCATCCCTGGCTGGAGCAGCAGGCAGGGCAGTGTTTGCCCCCAGGAGGGGAGAGGGCCGCGGCCGGGGGGCTCCCGCTCACGACTTTCTCCTGCAGAGGCAGCCATGGCCTGCCTGGCCGTGGACCCCGCCATCCTGCTCATCGTGGTTGGCGTCCTCATGTTCCTCATCACCTTCTGCGGCTGCATCGGCTCCTTGCGGGAGAACATCTGCCTGCTGCAGACGGTGAGCACATGGTGATGCCCTGGCGACGCCCGCCAGGGTTGCCACTGCCAGCAAACTGGGGTCCTGCTGGCTGGGGGGGGTCCCCCATCCCTTGTCCCCCGGGTGCGTGTCCCTGACCCTAAAGGCTCTGCGGCTCCCTGGGGCGGGAGGCTCGTGCTTAGAGCTGCACCCGGTCCCCGTGCTGCCCTGGGGAAGGTGCCGTCCCCTGGCAGAGGCGACTGGTCTGTGCTCGACCCTAGTAGAGTTTGTCACCCACCCCTTCCAGCTGGTTCTCCAGGCTCATTTGTACCTGAAGGTCACTGTAGGAGAGAGCTGTCCACTACAGCCACCTCCTGCTCCATGCACCCTGGCTGGCACAGATGCAGGCAGTGTCCAGAGACGGAGAATTTCAGCCCTGCGCCCTGGTGCTGGGGGACACCCATCTGTTTCCCGCGCTGTTCATTGCAAACAGCCCTGCCTGCTCTTCCAGGGTTCCCAAACCATCCCTCGTTGCTCTGCTGGGTGTGCGTGGTGCTCGTCATTCCTAGCCCCGTTCGCGGCTCTGCTGTCCTGGGGGTGGGAATGTGCCCAGCGTGCCCGGATCACTCTCCCAGCAAGCACTGGGGTGCCTGGATCGCCCTTCCCATGAGTGCCAGGGTGCCCCAGCTCTGCAGCACGCAGCGCGTTAGCATCTCTCCCAGAGCTGCCTGCTGATGCCTTCTTCCCGCCCGCAGTTCTCCGTCTGCCTGACCGTGGTCTTCCTGCTGCAGCTGGCAGCGGGCGTGCTGGGCTTCGTCTTCTCCGACAAGGTATGCCCAGGGTTGGCCGGCAGCAGGGAGCAGCGGTGACGTGGGGCGAGCTGGGACAGGCGGTGGACGGCTCCATCAGATCTACCTGCTCCCGTTCAGGGATGTGGGCATGGTTGCGTGGGGCAGCAGCGCTTGGTCCCCAGGCTGCTGTGTCCCTGCGCAGTGCTGGAGTGAGGCTGTCTCCTTGGCCCTGGGCCAGGATGACGGGTCTGAGCTCTGGGATTGGAGGGTGTGGGGGACAGCCTTGCTCATGTCCCTCTGTCCCCACGGCGTAGGCACGCGGGAAGGTGAGCGAGATCATCAACGGTGCCATCGTGCATTACCGGGATGACCTGGACCTGCAGAACCTCATCGACTTCGGGCAGAAGGAGGTGCGTGTGGGGACGTGGTGGGCAAGGGTGCCGGGGTCCCCGCCGACAGACAGGGACGTGTCCCCAGTGATGGGTTGGACCTGGGAGTCCCATACCGCTCAGCTCTTTGGCGTCTCTGCTCTTGCCCCGTGCTTTTAATTCACTGGCCTGTGCAGGGCATGCGGGTCCCCAAGGCCAAGGATGCAGGATGCTGGGTGGCTTTTCCCAAGAGGATTTGATATTAACAGTGAGGCCCTGCCGGAGTCCGACAGTGGTGGCTTGAAAAGGGGAAAAAACCCTCAGAGCTTCCTGCTATGGCTCTGTCAGAGCCTGTGTTTATGTAGGGCCTCTTAAAACAGTGGGTGGAAGCGCTGGGAGGAGATTTCTAACAAGAGCAGTGATGGGGCAGGCTGGATGTAGCCCTGCCTCAGCTAACGACACCGGCTGGAGGTCGGTTGGAGGGGTTTGGGAGCAGTGAAATCCCCCGGAGCCTGTCGTGGCGCTGCGGCTGCCCCTCGCCTGGCGCGGGCCAGCTCGGCTTCTC